GAGGAGGAGGAGGAGGCATCCTCCCGAGCGCCTCCGCCCTCGCAGCGCCCGCACCGCGCGCGGGCCGACGCGGGGGAGGCGCGCCGAGCCCGCGCCGGAGCTCGCGGCCCCTCCAGGGGGGGGGGGAGGCGGGGGAGGGCAGCCCAGGGCTGAACCTACCGTACGTCGACGAAATGTTGCACCATTTTTGCCGCGCATTGTCAGCTGTATTGCATTGCTCCCCCCCCCCTCCCCCTGATCTTCATATTGGGCACATGGCAAAGGTCCCTTGGCGCCCCCCTCAGGGCTCGCGACAGAATGTTGCACCACCGAGCCGTTTCGATGAACCCGGGACCGCAGCCAATATTAAGATTGGGGGGAGGGGGGGGTGGAAGCGAACATCCATTGCAAAATCGGCTTGCTTTCTTGACAACATCAGGTGGTGCAACATTTTGTCGATGTACCGTAAACGGTGTTTCTCGTTTTCGTTTTGTTTTCGTTTTCCCTCGTTTTGTCTTCAATCCGCCTTCAACGCAAAACGACATCGAAACGAAAACGGCCCACGAAAACCAAACACCGTTTAGGTCCACCCCTGGGGCACCCTGCGCTGCCATGCGCTGAAGTGCCGCTTGCGTGCAGCTCCTCACATCAAATCGGGCGTGTCCCCTACAAGGGGATTTTCGATGAAAAAATAAAACCTATTCGGAAAATACTCCAAAATCGCCAAAACATATTCCAAAATGGCACCTTTGGACGCCCGAAGTGGGTACGGAAGAAATGGGCACACTGCCCAACAACAAGTGTTGTCCCAAACCAGCAGCGGCCGCTGTTGGGCGGGCGGCCTTCTGCCTCGAATGGGCACAGGCCGCGGCGGCGTGGACAGCGCATCCTGTTCAAAATGAACAGGAACTCCTGTTCGGCATTGTACCCATTCTTTCCGTACCCATGAGAAGCTGGTGGCTTTTTGCCGAACAAACCACATTGGATCGTGGCAAGAAGCCGCGCAAGACGACGCTGCCTGGGCAGATATGACGGAGGACTTTTTGGATTTCTGCGAGTGAGCACGCCCGCCGCTTCCTGCTTGCACTGTAACTTGTTTTTCCCTCGCGCCCTATATGGGCCCGCCCTCGTGCGAGCGGGGTGACTTGACTTGACTTGACTTCGGGCGTCCAGAACACCTCCTCCCCCTTTCGACCCGAGGCTTGGGGGCCCCGGCGGGCCTCCAGCTGCGCCCGCAGCGCGCCCACCGTCGCGTGCTCCCCGCCCCGCAGCCGCGCGGTGACGGCCGCCGTCGGCAGCCCGTCGGCAGCCGCCGCCTCCGCCAGAGGGGCAGACGACGACGACGACGAAGACGACGACGACGACGACGACGACGACGACGACGACGACGACGACGACGACGGGGACGACGACGACGACGACGACGACGACGACGACGACGACGACGACGACTTCGACGACGACGACGACGACGACGACGACGACGACGACGACGAAACGACGACGACGACGACGACGACGACGACGACGCGGGGGGGGGGGGGGGGGTGGGGGGGGAAAACGCGACGACGGACGACGACGAAAAACGAACGACGGACGACGACGACGACGACGACGACGACGGACGGAAAAACGACGACGACGACCGACGGACGACGAAAACGACGCCTTGACGACGACGACGACGACGACGACGGACGACGCGGACGACGACGGGGACGACGACGGACGACGACGACGACGAGACGACGACGGACGACGTACGTACGACGACGACGACGACGACGACGACGGCGACGGACGACGAGACGGACGACGACGAAAAGACGACGACGAACGACGAAAAAACGACGACGAGGACGACGGAAAAACGACGACGATGACGACGACCGACGACGACGACGACGACGACGACGACGGACGACGACGACGGGGACGACGACGACGACGACGACGACGACGACGACGACGACGACGACGACGACGACGACGGCGACGACGACGACGACGACGAAAACGACGACGACGACGACGACGAAAACGACGACGACGACGACGAAAACGACGACGATGACGACGACGACGACGACGACGATGACGACGACGGGGACGACGACGACGACGACGACGACGACGACGACGGCGACGAAAATGACGACGACCGACGACGACGATGACGACGACGACGAAAACGACGACGGCGACTTGGCCTCCGGGGGCCTCAGGAAGACTCCGAGGGCCTCTGGGGACCTCTGCAGGATCGGCGGCGACGACGGCGGCCGGCGACGGCCGACCGCCGACGAGGGCCACGGCGAGGAGGACTGCCCCGGGCCCTCGACGGTGTGATTGCTTCCGTCCCTGCATGTCTCCTCGACTTCGGCCTCCGTGGCGCGTGATCGTCGGGAGCGGCCAAGAGGGGGGTGTCCAAGAGGGGGGGGTGCAAATCATGACCGGCGGCATGTGCGCGGCCCAGCGGGGTGGCCAGGGACGGAATGGAATAAGAAGAGGCGCCATGAAATCTGGGAAATATCATGGCCCCCGCCATGATATCCACCCCTCCTAGTCATCACCCCCCTCTTTGCCGCTCCCGAGGGACCATCAAAAGTGGATCTGGGACGAAAACCACCGGGGAAGGCGTCGGGACCTCTGGGGCCGCGCATTGAAAAAGTCACATCGTCGGACGCACAGGTCTGAAGCTTCTCGCCTCTTTGGGGGGCCTCCGGGGGCCCAGGCAGACGTAGCCGTTGGATCCAGAGCGAAGATGCACATCGTGACCCTTCGTAGTCAGGCCGCCGTCGTGCTGCTCGGCCCGCGAGGAGCATCGAAGACAGGCGCATCTTCATCGATTCGTGCAGTCTTTGGTAAGTATACGCGTTCTCAGGAAGACGGGGTGTGGCCGCGAGGATGAAGATCACTCGGGGATCTCTGAAAGCAAGTGGACTCGGAGGATGCATCGGGCGCCACGGCCGTTCCAGAGCGGTCTGGAACGCTCTGGGGCGACCTGTCCTCACCCCAGGCCTGCGTGATTGCTCCATCCCGAAGCCTTTTTAGCACCAAGACTGCTTGATGCGCTCCATCCCCTGCTGGAGGAGGAGGAGGAGGAGGAGAAGGAGGAGGAGGAGGAGGAGGAGGAGGATCAGTAGGAGCGAGGAGGAGCAGGAGGAGGAGCAGGAGAGGAGGAGCAGGAGGAGGAGCAGGAGGAGGAGGAGGAGGAGGGGAGGAGGAGGGAGGAGGCGGAGCAGGAGGAGGAGGAGCAGGAGGGGGAGGAGGAGGAGCAGGAGGGAGGAGGAGGAGGAGGAGGAGGAGGAGGAGGAGGAGGAGGAGGAGCAGGAGGGGAGGACGAGGGAGGAGCAGGAGGAGGAGGAGGAGGAGGAGGAGGAGGAGGATCCTGTCTGCTACCTCCACAGCCGAAGCTTGCGCGGGTGGCCGCGGCCGGGCACGGCCATCGAGAGGCGGGCCGGGGCGGACCCCGGGAGGCAGCCGGGAGAGGCCGCTCCTCGGCGGGCCTCGGGGTCGGGAGGCGCCGACGACGCCGGCGAGGAGGACCGACGACGCCGACGACGCCGTCGAGGAGGAGGAGGAGGAGGAGCAGGAGGAGCAGTAGGAGCAGGAGGAGGAAGAGGAGCAGCAGGAGGAGCAGTAGGAGCAGGAGGAGGATGAGGAGGACGAGGAGGAGCAGGAGGAGGAGGAGCAGGAGGAGGAGGAGGAGCAGGAGGCCGCTCCTCGGCGGACCTCGGGGTCGGGAGGCGCCGACGACGCCGGCGAGAAGGACCGACGACGCCGACGACAAGGAATCCACCCAGATCCCCTCGGGTTATGAAAAAATCACGACGGGAGGTTTGTCGCAATTTTTGGCCTCTGGGGGCCCCTACCGGCCCTCGGGACCGTCAGAAAACGACTCAGGACGAAAAACCGGTCCCGGGGAATGGGTCGAGACCTCGGGGGGTCGACGTCATGAAAAAATCATGACGTCGGGGGTCTGGGCAGGAATCGAGAAATCCAGGCGCCGACGACGCCGGCGAAGAATCGAGGAATCCAGGCGCCGACGACGCCGGCGAGAAGGACCGACGACCGTCGTTTGTCAACACGTGATCCCGAGAGCAGCTTTGCCCTCCTCTTGTTCCTCCCTCTCCCTTGTACCCGCCCGCTGAGTCTGCGAACCAACCCCCTTTTGGGGAGGGGGCGCCTCACCAGCTCTCGGTCGAGAGAGGTTTTTTGGTGGGGGGGGTCATGCCGAGAGCGCAGTTCTTCAGTTTCGGGGCCTCTCTGGCGAGAGCGTCTCCGAATCAATTGTTAGCAAACATCGAGCGGGAGCCGTTGTCGTGTCGCAGGTGGGCCGGTACGAACTTGACTGAATTGCGAGGAAGTGTCGGGCGAAAGCACCGTTCCTCAGTTTCGGGGCCCGTCTGGCCAGAGCGTCTCCGAGTGAACGGTAAGGAAGCATCGTGCGGCAGCTGCCGGCTGCCGTTGTCGCAGCTGGGCCGTTACCAACATGACTGAATTGCGTGGAAGTCTCAAGCGAGAGCGCCGTTCCTGTGGTTTGGGGTCTCTCCGGTCAGGGCGTCTCGGCGTAAATTGTGAGGAAGTATCGAGCGGGAGCCGTTAGAAACAAAGCCCGCACTCGAAGAGGAGCCTACCGAGCTTTCAAGGAAAAAGCAGCCAGCGTCAAGGCGAGAGCGCCTGGAACCGCTTCCGGAGATCAGCATAAATTATTCTCTTGAAGTAAATATCCGACGAGGAACAAGAGGAGGAGGAGAAGGAGGAGGAGGAGGAGGAAGAGGAGGGGGTTCGAGGCTTCTCTTCAAATATGGTAGTCTTTGGACTTCCTTGCTCCGCTGCAGAAGCTCCCCTTCTGGACTATGGTTTGCCCTTGCACGAGCCAACGTTTCGATGCTATCTCGGTGGGACTTCAAAAGCTAGTCCAACGGGTGGGCTATACCCTGGATTTACGCACAAATCCCATGCAAAGCCCACCATCGTGCCGAAGGCACTAAGGAGAGTGTACTCAAGTTCTTGTGAATCTTCTGCATCAAAAAATCAGGGAATGGGTGTGGGACGGTCTGAAATGATCCCTGGGGGTCCGCGGTGCAGATTGTCATTATCATGCTCGTTCTCGTTCTCGTCATTCTTGTTGACGTCGTCCTCGCCCACGGCCCGCACGCGACCCACCCGCGACCCAACCGCGACCAACCCGCGACCTGCCCGCGACCCGCCTGCGACCCGCCCGCTGACCCACGTGCGACCCACCCGCGACCCTCCCGCCACTCACCCACGACCCACACGCCACGCGCCGGCGACCCTCCTCTCGACCCACCCACGCTGCTTTGACCACAAGACTCGGCGCCTGCCACGGGTTTCTTGCATCGACCCTTCGAATCGTACAGATTGCCGATGGCCCCCCTCGCACTCTTATGCGCAGCTGCGGGGGCTGCGGCACTCTCCGCGAAACCAAGGGGCTCAAGGGGAGGATTACCAGGGGCGTCTCACAGCACTTTCGGGGCGAGCCGCCCGCGTCTCCCAGAAGCCTCGGGCGGTCGGGTGGGCATGCGCGCGTGCCACATGAACATACAAGCAGTCATCTCATAGGTTCGGCTCTGTCATCCACTCCATGCCAGGCCCAGACGCTTCGCCTCTTGTGCCCAACGTCGGCCTTGCACTCACAATCGGAGCGCGCGCCGATCTGGCCCCGGGCACTTCGTTTTGCAAATGATGCTGCGCGGTGTGCATCTTGTGATAGGATGCACGGATCACGTGGAATAGTCCTACTGGCCAGGCCACGCGCGCGATCGCGTCTCAAAATGCACGAGAAGCCAAGCTAACACTGCTACCATACAATTTCTGCCGGAAGCTAAGTTTCTGTTACGACGATTTGGCAACTGTCGCGTGCTGTACGCGCTCGCACTTGCCCACATCATGGGGTGTTTGTTTGCAAGTGGGTGTTTCAAGGGGCCCAAGAACACACAAATAAATACACACAAATAAAAGGATTCCCATATTTTCCAATGTTTTCTGGGTTTTTGTCTTCCCCCCCACTTCCCATGTTTTCCCATATTTTCTGGGGAATCGACGGTTAATTGTGTCTGTGTGTTTTTCCCCCTCCTGGGTGTTGTCCAACTGTTGAATGAGCCTGTCATGGGCGAGGGGGTTGTCGATGTCTGTGTCGCGCCGAAAACGGCGTTCAGGTGATTGCGCGGCCGTGCGCGTGGACTGCCCAAGTGTAACACATGACGCGCGCACGTGCGCGCGCTCGCTGCAGTTACGGACTCTGGCATGAAGAAAGGGTCTTATGATGCGAAAGGTTACGGGCGGGTGTAAAGTTTGATGATTGGGACGCCGGGTGGCGCGGCGGCGACGGGGCCGTCAGCGTCGCCGCCGCCACCTCGACGTCTACTACGACGACGACGACGACGACGACAACGACGACGACGACGACGACGACGACGACGACGACGACGACGACGACGACGACGACGACGACGACGACGACGGCGGCGGCGGCGGCGGCGGCGGCGACGGCGGCGGCTGTGGCCGCGACGACGACGGCGACCGCCTCGTCGGGCAGCACGGCCATCTGCACGCTGGCCTCTGCCACCCAGGGCGACAGCGAAGCGTCGACGGACCAGCTGGCGCCCAGGGGCGCCTCTTGGCAGGCGACGACTGCGACCACTGCCACGACGACGCCCCCGACGACGGCGACGACACGCTGACGACGATGACCACGATGGAAACTCCGAAAAGGACAACCACGACGCCACGGCCCCGACGACGACTCCGAACACAACAAGACCTCGACGACCCACCAAATCGACGACGACAACGACGACCACTTCAACGACGGAGAGAGAAACCTTTGCAGATCGGACAAATGTGGGCGCCCAGGCATGAAATCTCCGTTCGAGAACTCCTCAGGGCGACGCGTCGTCCGCGGTCGTCCGCGGTCGTCGTCACCGTCGTCGTTGTCGTCGTCGTCGTCGTCGTCGTCGTCGTCCGCGGTCGTCGTCGTCGTCGTCGTCGTCGTCGTCGTCGTCGTCGTCGTCGTCGTCGTCGTCGTCGTCGCCGCCATCGTCTTCGCCGCCGTCGTCGTCGTCGTCGTTGTCGCTGTCGCCGTCGCCGTCGTCGCCGTCGTCGCCGTCGTCGTCGTCGTCGCCGTCGTCGCCGTCTTGGTGGTCGTGGTCGTGGTCGTGGCGTGGTCGTGGTCGTGGTCGTGGTCGTGATCGTCGTCCTCGTCGTCGCCGCCTCCGCCGCCACCGTCGTCGTCGTCGTCGTCGTCGTCGTCGTCGTCGTCGTCGTCGTCGTGGTCGTCGTCGTCGTCGTGGTCGTCGTCGTCCGCGGTCGTCCGCGGTCGTCGTCGTCGTCGTGGTATTCGTCGTCGTCGCCGCCGCCATCGTCTTCGCCGCCGTCGTCGTCGTCGTCGTCGATGTCGCTGTCGCCGTCGTCGTCGTCGCCGTCGTCGTGGTGGTGGTGGTCGTCCTCGTCGTCGACGACGTCGCCGTCGACGTCGACGTCATCGTCGCCGTCGTCGCCATCGTCGTCGTCGTCGCCGTCGTCGTGGTCGTGGTCGTGGTCTTGGTCGTGGTCGTCGTCGTCGTCGCCGTCGTCGTCGTGGTCGTCGTCGCCGTCGTCGTCGTCGTCGTTGTCGCCGCCTCCGCCGCCACCACCGTCATCGTCGTCGCCGCGGCCGCCGCCGCCGCTGCCGCCGTCGTCGTCGTCGTCGTCGTCGTCGTCGTCACCGCCGTCGCTGTCGTCGTCGTACCGTCGCCACCACCGTCGTTATCATCGTCGTCGTCGCCGCCGCCGCCGTCGTCGTCGTGGTGGTGAGGGTCGTCCTCGTCGTCGTCGCCGCCTCCGCTGTCGTCGTCGCTGTCGTCGTCTCCGCCGGCGTCGCCGTCGTCGCCGTCGTGATCGTGATCGTGGTCGTGGTCGTGGTCGTGGTCGTCGCTGTCGCCGCCGCCGTCGCCGCCGTCTGTCGCCGCCGTCGGGCCACGCTGGGCCACCGGCGGCCTCCGCTGGCCGCCCCAGGGCCCGAGGTCAGGCGTCGTCATCGGCGGCGGCGTCGTCGTCGTGGTCGCGGTCGTGGTCGTCGTTGTCATTGTCGTCGTCGTCGTCGTCGTCGCCGCGGCCGCCGCAGCCGCCGCCGTCGTGGTTGTCGTGGTTCGTGGTCGTCGTGGTCGTGGTCGTGGTCGTGGTCCTCGTGGTCCTCGCCGTCGTCGTCGTCGTCGTCGTCGTCGTCGTCGTCGTCGTGGTGGTCGCCGTGTGTCGGTCCGGATCTGCGCGGACTCGTTGTCCGAAGCTCGAGGTTCTCGACAGCTGGAAAAGCTTCTGCAGCCTCTTCCGGAAATTATCACATACAATCGATGTCAGCCTTCCAGTGGCTCTCCGCCATGCCGTCTCTCCGAGCCGCTGATGCACGCAATTGATAATGAGCTTCAAAGTCAGAGTGAGGGGGCTGAACCGAACGGTCATTCACTGTCCCTGGGTGCGTGGCTGAAGTGGAATTCCGCGATGCGGATTCTTGTTGCTGTTGTGTTTGTTGTTTGTTGTTCGTTGTTTGTTGTTTGTTGTTGTCGTCGTCCCACCCGAAGACCGCCCCGCGACCCACCCGCGACCCACCCGCGACCCCACCCCGCGACCCACCCGCGACCCACCCCGCGACCCACCCGCGACCCACCCCGCGATCCATCCGCGAACCACCCGCGACCCACCCGCGACCCACCCGCGACCCACCCCGCGACCCGCCCGCGACCCACTCCGAGACCCCCCCGCGACCCACCCGCGACCCACTGGCGACCCACCCCGCGACCCAACCGGGACCCACCCGTGACCCACCCCGCGACCCACCGGCGACCCACCCGCGACCCACCCGCGACCCACCCCGCGACCCACCCAAAATTTTCGGCGCCTGCGGCGGGTTTCTTTTGCCTTCGTGTGGTGAACCTGCGACCCACCCGCGACCCAAAAACCGCGCACGCGACCCACCAGCGACCCACCGCGACCCACCCGCGACCCACCGGCGACCCACCCAAAATTTTCGGCGCCTGCGGCGGGCTTTTTTGGAATTCCTTCTAGGTGGAGGTGGAGAGCCCGCGACCCAACCGCGACCCAAACTACGTTCACTGAACAAGCCAAAAATTCGGCGCCTGCGGCGGGCTGTTTTTGCATTCGTTCCGGGTAAAGGAGGGGGAGACGGAGGGGGACGACGAGAAAGGAGGGAGGAGGAGGGGGAGGAGGAGGAGGAGGAGGAGGAGGAGGAGGAGGAGGAGGAGGAGGAGGAGGAGGAGGAGGAAGAGGAGGAGGAGGAGGAGAAGAAGGGGGAGGAAAAGGAGGAAGAGGAGGAGGAGGAGGTGAAGAAGGAGGAGGCGGACGACGACGACGACGATGAGGACGAGGACGCGGACGAGGAAGAGGAGGAGTAGGAGCAGGAGGAGGAGGAGGAGGAGGAGGAGGAGGAGGAGGACGGCGCCATCGACAGGGAAGGTGAGGGCCACGAGGTCCGCCGGCTCGACGCCCGCCTCGCCCGCGCCCGCCCCCTCACTCTTCTCCGCAATTGCGCGGTGCTGCGTACACTTCCGCTTTTTTTTTATCGAAGCCTGCATACGAACAAGAGTCTGGCGTTGTCGTTGGCTCTCGGAGACTTTCCAGCTTCGGGGTGTCTCTTGCATCGGCCGAGCCTCGCCGAGGGCGCTCCGGGGATCGCCCACATCGCCGGGAGCGACCGCCAGAGGCCCGAGTGATGGCCTGCATGCCACGGGGGCCTGGGACACACATGGATGGGAGGCACGTGCGCGGACGAGGGGGCCCCGACTCCAGGTCCGCCCTACTTTGGGCGAGCTCGCAAGTCGGGTGGAAATTCCCGCCCCACTTGCCAGGGTCCTCTGATGTCGATGCCCGCCCTACCTTGCCGCCGCTGTTTCCGCCTGAATTTCGCGGAAGTGTCCGCCCTTCCCTTCTTGGGCGGAAATTTTCGCCCTATGGTCTCGCATCCTTTCGAAGGCATGTCCGAGACATTTTGGATCGGAGCGTCAACCAAAGTACAGCGGATCCGGAGTCAGGGTGTGTCGGCCCCATTGGAGGAGGGAGGGGGGAGGAGGGAGGAGGGATGAGGGAGGAGGGTGGAGGGAGAAGGGAGGAGGGAGGGGAGGGAGGAGGAGGAGAGGAGGAAGGAGGAGGAGGAGAGGGGAGGAGGAGGAGGAGGGAGGAGGAGGAGGAGGGAGGGGGAGGAGGGGAGGAGGAGGAGCGGAGGCGGTCTGGCCCTCCGCCTCGGCTTCCTCCTGCTTCCCCGCTCGTGGACTCCTCCTCGGCGACCTCGGCGCCCCTGACAAGTACCGCCACCACGGCCGCGACGCCCACAGCCACCACGGCGGCCACCCCCACGGCGACGAGGACGACCACCACCGCGACCACCATCACGACGGTGACCGCCAAACCACGAATACGAAACCCTTTGCCACGACGGCCACACCCACGACGACCAGCCCTAAGATCTGCCCTTGCGAAAGCAGCGCAACATCGCGGACGCAAAAAAGCACGACCAGAGCCCTAAGCCCCGTCTTTCTGCTGCATTTTTCGTGCTGGATCGACCTGTCTGTGATGATCCTGGGGCCCTAGGAGCGAAAACGCCTGGTGACAAGAAAGCATCGCGCGGATCTCAGACGACGACGACGACGACGACGACGACGACGACGACGACGACGACGGCGGCGACGACGACGACGACGACGACGGCGGCGGCGACCCGACGGCGACGACGGCGCGGCCGCCGCCGCGCCGCCGCACCACCCAAGGGAGGCCACAGAGGGCCGCCCCAAGGGCCTCGTCGGCGTCACCGAGCAGCTCGCCGGCCGCCGACTGCAGCACCACGCGGTCGAGGGGCCAGCGCCACCTCGCTGGCCACGGCGGTGCCGCCGTCGGCGCCGACGGTCGGCGTCGTCGCCGCCGCCACCACCGCCGAGACCGTGGCCGCCACCGCCACCTCGCTATCGACCTCGACCTCGACCTCGACGACGACGACGACGACGACGACGACGACGACGACGACGAAGACGACGTCGGCAACGACGGCGGCGGCGGCGGCGACGGCGACGGCGACCACGACGACCACAACGACGGCCACGACGACGGCGACGACGATGACGACGCCGAGGACCGCGGCGAGGGCGGCGGTGACGGCGACGGCGACGACGATCCGACGAAGACGCCTGTGGCGAGATCCTCACCCTTATACACCATTCGCTATCAGACGACTGTCTTGCAAAGTTGACCCTGGCCATTCACGGCCTTAGTGGGAAACGCCGTCGCTGTCGACGGACTTTTCTTCAGCGCACCATTTCGCCAAAGACACGGTGAATGCTTCAATCGCCGTCACCAAACGAGACTGCGGAGAAGGAGGAGGAGGGAGAGGAGGAGTACAAAGAGGAGGAGGAGGGAGAGGAGGGAGGATAAGTGGGAGAGGAGGGAGAGGAGGAGGAGGAGGGAGAGGAGGAGGGAGAGGAGGAGGGAGGAGGAGGGAGAGGAGGAGGGAGAGGAGGGAGGATAAGTGGGAGCAGGAGGAAGACAATGCAGCTGCGGCACGTGGTGATCCAAGGGCCCACGGGCCCAGTGACCCGAGGATGAGGAGGAGGAGCAAGGACGAGGAGGAGGAGGAGAAGGAGGAGGAGGCGAAGAGGGAGAGGAGGAGGAGGAGGAGGAGGAGGAGGAGGAGGAGCAGGAGGAGCAGCCGCAAGCGGAGCTTAGCTTCCCCGTGATGCCCTACCTCGTGTTGGGATTCCTGGACTTTTTCGCGTCTGCGGCTACGTCGCATGGGACTGGCATCACGGACTGGGGCAGGGTATGTTCGTCAATGGGTAATCAGTTTAACGTTGATTCGATGTCAGGAGCCCCATGTGTTGCTGGGGGTCTGGGCAGGCGATACCGACCCACCCCTATGGGGTGGGCACGCGCTGGTTACCCAAGCTCGGCTCAGAGAATACACAGGACCATGAATCACCGCAAAGGTGTGCTGAAACAAACCCCACAGTCGGGAGATCTGATAGACGTTAAACCAAGTCAAAAGATATCTGTATCGATTTTCCCTTCGAGACCAGTTCCTCCCTCCTCCCTCCCTCTTCCCTCTTCCTCCTCCTCCTCCTAATCTTCGTCCTCCTCCTCATCCGCCCTCCTCCTCCTCCCTTCTCGTATTCCTGCTGCTGCTGCTGCTCCTCCTCCTCCTCCTCCTCCTCCTCCTCCTCCTCCTCCTCCGCATCACCATCATCCGCAACAGTTGTTGCGCAAAAGGCTCCTCATCGGGCTTCTGCAATGGAACAGCGCAAGCATCAACCATCAGCGCGTCAACCCTCGGGCACTCAAGACCGGGGCAAAAGCTAAAACCACAAACACGGTTATCGACCATATTCAAGTTAGACATCAAACATGCCCACGATCAACCATGCTACTCTGGAGCCCACACTGCGACACCATTGCCAATCCACCTTGGGATCAACTGTCCCTTACACCTGTTTTTTTCTAGACAAGGGCGTAATGAACTGTGGGAGTCACGCATACATCGCTGGCATCTGGACATTGTCGAACCCCGAAGGCCGAAAAGATGGCACGTGCTGAGAGGTTGCGTCGAATGCTGGCCTTCAGGATACCCGCGGGCGCGCGGGCCAACTTCACGATCCCGAAAATCTCAAACTCAATGGCAACTCTTCTTGGGTGTTGGAAGCGAAGCGGAGGCACCGACGCCCAGAAAGCACCGATGCCGAGAAAACTGTCCATCAAGCTCGGCCGCATGACTTGCAGCTGTTCAGGACTCTCCTGGCCCACCCCTGCGAATGATCAGTCCACCTGCAGCTCAGCTTTATCAAATCTGCCCTTAGCATCCTCGACAGCACTCTCCACCCGAGCAAGCCGCCGAATCGATGCAGCTCACTTTTGCCGCGCCTGATCACGCGTAGCTTCCAACATTTCCTCGACGGCGACGTTTGCATGCGATTCCTCTCCACCGCTGGCAGAACCATCGTGGTCCTATTCTCGACCGTCCTCCCCCACATATTCAATGTTATCATCTGACTCTTCTTCCTCCGGCGACCCCTCCTCTGCGAGCAGCTCCTGCCCATCCTCCTGGCTCTATCCTCCGACTCGCAACCTTCTTCACGAGCCTTCCCGAATAGAACCAGACTGCGAAGGACATCTTCCTGCCGCTGTGATTATTAAAGTTCTTTTACCTAGCGTTGGAGGTGTGACTCGTCATCGGCACTGTCGTTGAGCTCCTCCTCGCCTGCCCACCAGACGTGTCGGAAGGGCGGGCCAGGCGCGTGGCCTAAGATGGTCTCCCCGTCTATGCTTTCACGTATCCAACAGCGACATTAACTACACGGATGGAGGGGTGGTGGTTTTCAAACCGCGGCTCTCGCATCAGCGCCGCGCACGTTCGCCCTACTTCCAACAGCTATACGGACTCGAATGTAGTGGGACGGTTTTCAAAACGTGGCTCTCGCTTTCGCTCTGCGCGCATTCGTCGTACAAGCTTCCACCACTTGTAGGAACGGATTGGGAGAAGGCTTCAAACGTGGCTACCACCTTCGCACCGCGCACATGCGTCTCATAACACTGTCCCACAAATGCACGGCAGGATGGCGCTTGTTGTTGTTTCAATGTGGCTCTCACCGTAGCGCTGCGCGCATCCGTCTTAAAAGGTCCCAGCAGCTACACATTGGAAGACAAGGTAGTGGGAACATGCGGCGGCTCCCACCTCAGCGTTTCGCGCATGCGTTTCAACATACCACTGCATTTGCACGAATGGAGAAAGATTCTTCTCAAATGCAGAATGTTGGCCGAGAATTGTTTTAGCCTGATTATGAGATGCTAATCAATGTGGGCCCCAAGCCGACTGTTTCTAGCAGTATATGGTGTGCAACATGTGTTGGGCGTTATGTGGGGTCCATCCTATGTGGTACAATTTACGTAATGCAATCTATGTGGGGCAACCATTGTGGTGCAATCGATGTCGTGCAACATGTGCTGTGAAATCGATATTGTGCAATCTATGTTGCACAACCTATGTGGTGCACGTAATTTCTGTTCGCGGTGGGTTGTCAATGCCATTGCTCGCGCAATCGCCCCACCCACCCACCCGCAACCTGGTTTGCATAAGCCAATGCGGCGGCGGTTGCGATGAGTGCTTGGTGTTGGCTGGTGCATCTATGTGGTCGCGCTAGCCCGCGCATGCTCGCGCGCGCAGCGGCCCGCTAGCTTGGCGCGACCGATGCGGCCGCGGTGGCGCTGACCGCTGGCCACATCCCAGCGGGCACTTCGGTGCAAGTTGGCGACATGGGCGGGCGCGGATGGCAACGTCGACAGCAGTAGACGCGAGGATGATAGTAGCGATGCTGGTGGCGATGGTGACAACGACGACGGCAAGGCCAATGATGGCGCCGATGCTGATCAAGCCGACGACGATGACTGCGTCTTCGCGTTGGTGATGAACGTTTTGGAAGGAGTTCGACACGCGCGCGCTGTCGACGCGCGAACGGCCCGCATGGTGCCACTTGAAACGGAACGTGCCCCCCCCCCAGCATGCGCGCAACGGCTATGAAACGATTTCGACATGCGGCGCGAGAGGCCCGCTTGGCAGAAATGAATGAACATGTCGAAAAACATATTGCTTTTCTTGTGATTTCACCAAAGCGCAAGCGCGAGCGCAGGCTCTTGAAGGATCTCGGCGCTCGCGCGCGACGACGCGCGCGTGTGCAAGTCGTCACATTGTTTGCAAGGGGTCCTTGCGACAGCACACCCTCAGAGGTGTTCGAACGATTTCGACATGCGCGCGCGAGAGGCCTCTATGGTAGCATGTAATGAATGTTACCGTTGGTTCTCTTAAAATTCGCAAGAGAGCGGGCGCAAGCTTTTTTGAAAATTCGTGTTGCGAAACCACGGTTTTCTAAAATATGTGTTCGGGACACTCGACTTTGAAATCCTTGCGAAACCCCGGGTTTTTGAAGGAGTTTGGCATGCGAGCGCGACGACGCGCGCGTGCGCACTTCGTCCCATCTGTTGCAAGGGATTTTTGAAAACTCATGATGTCTGATCAGCGAGCACGCGCGTATAATTTGTTGCACAAGATAACGAGGGTACCGATACCGGCGTGCCTGGGATCGTATAAACTCATACTTAGGATGGACGATGGGGCAGAATCAGATGCACAGTGCAATACGAAGAGGGGGCTCGTTCATTCCGGGGAGGGTCTTACTCTTCCTTTAGAAAGGAGAGTACATGTGGTACAACATATATTGCGTAATATGTGTATGAAGCAAAACGTGTTGTGCAGTATAGGCTGCGCAATCTATGTTGTACAATTTATGTGGTGCAGCGTACGTGGAACAACATATGCAAATCTGTGTGCGCAAGTTATGTCGTGCAGTCGGTGTTGGGCAATGTATGTTGTGCAAGCTACGTGGCGCAGTCCATGCTGTGCAATCAATATGGTGCAATATATGTGGTCCAATCTATGTGGTGCAGTCCTTGTTGCGGCGAAGGGGGCGGTGACGGCGGCAACAAGGCGGCGGACCAGACAAACGAGCCCAGACGACGGGCGGCGACGAGGCGGCGACGGGGCGGCGACGGCGGCAACAAGGCGGCGGACACTGGGCCCTTCGGTGGAGCCCCCTGCCACGAAACGTGTGAGGGGTGTGCCGAAACGGGCGTGGCGCCCACATGCGAACTGCGCCACTGGGACCTTCGGAGGAGCTCCCTGTGGGGCCACGAAGCGTGCGGGGTGCGCCAAAACGGGCGTGGCGCCCACATGCGAACTGCGCCACTGGGACTTTCGGTGGAGCTCCCTATGGGGGCACGAAGCTTGTGAGGGGTGTGCCGAAGCGGGCGTGACGCCCACATGCGAACTGCAG